TATTATTATCCATGGGGAGAAGCGGGCAAGAAATAACAACTTCTTCTTTTTCTTCTTCTTCTTCTTCTTCTTATTATTATTAATGCTTGTTAGTCATGCTCAAAATGGAGGACATTTTAGAATTTCTCTTGGATGAAAGGCTGAAATTAGGACATGTCCTGGAAAAGGAGGACATCTGGTCACCCTGTCCCTACCACATGTCCCTCCATTAGCACGACAGGACTGTTGCTGGCCTCCCGTGCTCTCTTCCACCCGCTACCTTGTCTCCCTGCCTTATATTCTACCCACCATGCCTTGCATTGGTATGTAAAGTTCAGGATTATTACTCTAATGTGTGTTTTGGAGTTCTGGAGTTATGGTGATACATTCGTCCCTCCACGTTTTGCAGCTTTGACTTTTGCAGATTTGATTATTCACAGATTTTATTAATATGTTCCCTCTAGGAATCTCTAGGTCCTCCAGCGCAACTCTATGGTCAACTTTAACCAAAGGTTGTACTGAAAGACCTAGAGATTCCTAAAGAGAACACTCCACTAGGAATTTGTAGCTCCTCCAGTGCAATTCTATGGTCAATGTCTGGCAGATGTTGACCACAGAGGAACTAGAGATTCCTAGAGAGATGTTCTCTCATGTAAAAACATAGTGGGTTTTTTTGGTTGTGTTTTTTCCACATTCACAGGGGTCCTGTGCCCCTAACCCCAGCAAATGTGGAGGGACAAGTGTATGTGTTTTTTAAAACAAAAAAGAAAAGAAAAGGGAAAAAAAGACTGTTCTGGATAGCGAAGGGGAAGGGGGATAGGGGAGAGGAGGAGACACTGACAGCATGGCACTGCACGATCCCAGAACTGCCACAGGAGTAACTTACCACAGCTGTGGATAGCACTTGCCATCTTGGCCACAGTCTGATATTACTTGGTCACATGCCCTGGTTTTCATCTGAGAAATTTTGGAGGGTTATGTGTTGTGTGTGAAGTAGCAAATGTGCTCAGGACACAGTAACATCTCTGCACCTGGTGTCACCTGATGCAAGAGGCAGGGCTTCTGGGGGCAGCGCACACTCCCTCCCACTGTGCTGCTCTGTCTTTTTCTGATGAGAAAAAGGATAGGATGGGATGAAGTGAGGGGCATGGGGAAGGAGATGTGCAGGGTCAGAGAGCAGTGCAAGGGGAGGGCCTGACTGGGGACTTTATCAGACCAGCAAAAAAAGACAGGAGCATAGCGGGATACTCCTGTCAATATTGTGTGATAATGTCATGATTATCACACAATGCCACACGACATCACGATTATCCCATGAATAAAGCGGAATTCTAGTGCCACCTTTTATTTACAGAAAATTCTGTGAATAAAATGAGAATTCCTCTTTATTTACGGGATAATCACAAGATAATAACAACGTCATGTGATAATCATGGTATTATCGCACAATATTTATGGGAGCATCTCACTATGCTCCCATCTTTTTTGCCAGTGTGATAAAATCCTGGGTGTTACCTCCCTTTTTGGGTGTCATCTGGTGCAGGCCACACCACCGCACCCCCCTGGTGACACCACTGTTAGGAAACACAACTATATGTCTCCATTGATGTTGGATCGGACATCAGTTGTTCATGTGACAGGGTTGCTTCTTTACCTTTGACATCCTGAGTTAACATATGTAACAAATTATTATTTTTTTAAAAAAAAATATCCTTTCCTTTCTACTTTACAGCTGACTGGTGTGAAAGTGCCAGATTGTATAAGGCACAATCCTCTTCATATCCTTAAAAAGCTGTTTTCTGGGATTCATCATCCTTTGCTATAACTCAGAAATGGTACATGGTGGAGGACACCAACAGAACTTGTGGGGAATTTTTGTTGTTGTTGTCATTTCACCATGTTTCACCATTTTAGGTTCAAGAGGAGCCCCCCCCCTTTTTTTTTTTTTTTTTTTTTTTTTGTAACAACAGGAAATAAGTGGAAGTCCCTTCTTTGGTTCAGAAGGCATTTTGGAGACAAAACATTTTGGGGCAAAAAAAATTGCATAAACACACACAGAGCATATTGACCACTGGGGGGACATGGGGAGCATACAAATGGGCCTGCTTGCAATTTGCCCACCCTTACTTTACAGTAACATTCTGAGATCTGAACAGTCTCCTTTTTGTCACCCTCGCCTAATATTCAGACATGATTAGTGGGAGCCTGTCCTCCAATGTGATGCATGTTATAAACTGCTGTCTATATGACAGGATAAATAAATACTGAAGAGATTGTTGTTGTTGGGTTCCTTCAAGTTGTTTCTGACTTATGGCACCCCTAAGGTGAACCTAGCATGAGGCTTGGCAAATTGTGTTCAGAGGAGGTTTGCCATTGCCTTTCCCTGAGGCTTACAGAGTATGGACCTTATCACATGGGGTCTAGAGCAGAGCTAATCCAAAG